AATGTAAAACAGCATTCATTCAAATAAAAATGCCCGAAGGCAACAAAGCAACAATTATAAAACCGACCAAGAAGGCCGGCGATGTTCATAACGTACAACCGACGGGCACACAGGCCCAAAAAGTACAAATATCAAAGGCACGCAGGCCCGCTATCCTACAGTCAGGCTTCCCCAGAACCATCATTGTCGACACCTGGAGAGTCGGGCGGGGGCACGATCACGCCATCCACGATCTGATGTGTGTGGCCTATACCCTCAGTGACCAGACCAGGGTTTAACAAGGAAAGCTGGCCGACTGCGGAGTCGAACCCCTCCTCCAAAGCACCAACGCAATCTGCCCCGAGCAGCCGGATATGAGCGACCAGCTCCGATCGACTCTTCAAAGCCGTTATGTCTTCCGGCTCGTCCTCGGCAGGCAGCATGGCAACATTCATTTCCTCGATCTGGTGGGCCAAGCGCCCGACTTCGGTCTCCAGACGATCCCTGTCTGCGCGGAGAAGCTCCCCCTCCTCGGCCAGCTTCCCCGACCTTTCCTTCTCCAGGACCAACATCTCCCTCTCAGCATCCAGCATCGATGTCTGCTCGCGGAACATCTCCTCGGAGCGTTCCAGGGCAGTCTTCAACTTCCGCGAGCTCGAGGTGAGAGCCGTTTTCTCCTGCTCAAGTTCCTCAATACGGACAGGATCCCCCCCTTCCTCGGACAACACCAGGGCCATCTCGGCCATTTTCACCAGCCCGTCCATGCTGGCAGCCAGATGCCTCTTCCGATCCTCCTTGCTCATCCTTTTAATAGTCTCAGCCTCGTCGGCAACCACTGACAGAGGGAATCTCTCGAAGAAACCCTCCTCTTTGAAATAAGGGGGAAACCCGAAAGACCTGACAGCGCTGGCGTCCTCGCTGACAGCCGGACCACTTTCCACCCGGGTCCTCTTCCTTTGTATCAGGACGGCATTAGGATCGACCTCTTCAACCTCTGGGGTCCCGTCAGACGCGGCCCCCGAGCTGGGCGACGAATCCACCCTCACCGGCTGAGGAGCACTCGGACTGTGTGGCGGGCCCATCCTCGTCGCCTGGGGAGCCTTCACGACCCTCCTACCTCGCTTCTGGTCGCAAGACAACTTCAAAAGCCTTTCCCGTCGACCGGCCATCGAACCTACACAAAATAAAAGACGGGTTAGTATCGAGCAAGTTCATAAATAAATGACGAGCAAAGAAATTCAAGCGATAAACAACCTAGCAGACGAGCAGCCTGCCTGTACGTCTGACACTCCACGAGTGCCTTAGTATCAATCGGCCGAGACTCAAATGTCGGATAACCCTCTGCATCCAAGACATCGTCCCCTTGCCTCGTGGCCCACCGGGCAGGGTGGAAGCTGTCGACGAACCGACAAAGTGTGGCGTACGCCTCCTCGTCCTCCGAGCACATGTCCCCGGCAGCAGTATGGTAGTATCCAGTCCCGTGCTCGTAGTGCCTGAACATCCAGTGCACAGGGAACTTGGCCGTACGGGCCATCACAGGATTCCCATCGTCGCCCAAAACCGCCTCCCCGTCATCATCGCTTATGGGCGCCTCCTCCTCGTACAGGGATCCCAAAGCAGAGGTGGTAACTGGCCGCACAACGTACCACTTGTCTTTAAAACCCCTTACGAAGTCCATATACATTTTGAAGAGTCTCCTCGACTGCTTTAAGGAGACCCAGCTGTGTTTCCCTCCTCGGGACTGGCGCTGCAGATGAAAAATCCTGAAGAAGAGCGGTATGGTCGCCCCAATCCTCAGAAAGCGACACGTCAGCTCAAACGCCCGGATAAAGGCGAGTGAGTTCGGATGTAGCTGAGACGGGGCCAACTCCAGATGGGTGAAGACCCCGATCTGAAAGTCACTAAAGGGCAGCTGCAGCCCAAGATCTTTAAACGCGATCTCGTACATCGGGAAGCTGTACTCTGGGTACACCGAGCAGATCCGTGCACGGGAGGTCGGGCGCATGACAACGAAATTCTTCTGGAAGTCAGGCTGGCCCTGGCCCGCTTCGAGGACAGCATACGGATTTCGGTCACGCCGGCTATATATCGACGCGATCCCTCGGGGCTCGGCGCCCACCTAATCCAGCAAAGGGTCATCGACAGTATCAATCAAGCTGACCGACTCATCGACACTTTATTCTTCATGTTCGTGGCGCCCGGAGGAGCACGGCTCGTCCGCCATGGTTACCTGCAGAGCACGGGAAACCAGTCAATTGGGCACGAAGCCATACGCTCGACAAACCACGTCGTCCCATGCACGACCACAAAAGTCAGTTTACACGAGTAGTCGCCTCCCCGACATCCAGAAAACTCGATGTGTTCTTCTCCAAACCGACTACGCGGCCACTCTCCAACATGTCGACCCAAGGTATGAACATGGCGAGCAACATCATGAGGCCTACGGCCAGGACCATGAACATACCGGGCGCGATCATGAATCAGGCGCCCTGGATCATGAAGACCCCGGGCAGCGCTGCTGATTATCACCTAAAACTATTAATATACCGGCCACAAGCATGCGTTTGCCGATCCTAAGCATGAATATGTCGAGCTAAGTATGAGTTTACCGGGCTAGTCCCACGCGCACAGTCCCTAAAACATCTACAAACGCTGAAAATCATGCATTACAACAGGAAAATGAAGAAGATAAACCACTTACTTGAATCAAAAAGTAGGATTCGGCTACGGAGTAAAAGAATCTGTAACAGAAGATCGCGACTGGGAAAAATCTAGAAGAACAGCAGCAGTGGGAGCACAAAGAGTAGAAACGTGTTATGGGGCCCAAGGTTCCTATTTATAGTGATGACGTGGAATACCAAACGTCACCTCGGGCAACCACGGAGTTTCTCTCCCCGACGCGCTGCTCCCAACGCAATGATGACCCTATCACCATAGGGTGGCGGTACAGTTCCCGAAAGATACCTCGTGTGCTCGACAGACACGCGCCGGTGAGGATCCTCCGGGCATCCACCGCAGAAGATGTCCCCGATCACGGCACGGAGAGGCCCTCGAGGGCCTGCATCTCTGTCCCGGGCGCGAGACCCCGATGTGGAAATGACCTGAGTTCAAGCCATGGCTCCTCACAAAGGAACCACGACTTGGGGGGCTCCTGTTCTGGACTGGGCCCGACAGGCCCAAAAGCATTGCTAAGGCCCAATCCAAATGGACTTACTGAGGACCACGCCGACCAAAGGGTCACATTCGTGCCCGACGTACTCTCACGTGCTCGACAGCTACACCTCCAGCTCGACATACTGCTGTCCAGCTTGACATCCTACTGTCCAGCTCGACATTACCTCGAGCACCCCAACTAGGGCAGACTCAGTCCACTGCTCTCCCAACGAGACCCCGAAAAGACCGCGTCTCTGTCCGCCCGCACTTCACGCAGAATATCCAGGAAGGGGACCACATGCGGGTCCCCACTACGCACGTAGAACCTGGCAGTTCCTCCATTGGGCCAAACCTGCCCGGCCCAATGAAGGAACCTTGGCCCAGCGCTGGGGGCTATAAATATCCTCTGTTCCCAGAGGGTCAGGTATTCATCATTCTAACCATACACTTGCTATTACCTGCTCGTACTTCTACTTACTTCAGCATCGGAGTGCCTTGCAGGTACCCCCCCCCCCCCCCCCCACTTCGTTCAAAAAGCTTTCTGCTCGGAGCCAACCGTGATGGTCCATTTCTGATCAGGTCAGATCATATATATATATATATATATATATATATATATATATATATATATATATATATATATATATATATATATATATATATATATATATATATATTGCAAGAAAATATATTTAACTTGATAAAAATAAAATTAGTCTACATATTTTTAAGATTTTAATATTTTATTTTTAAATATTTCAGTTTATTAGATTTTAATTTTTTTATATTATATAAAGTTAAAAAATTACTCTTATAACAAACATACATATTTTTTAAAAAATTATTTATTAACATTTTTTAATTTAATATTAAATTAATTTTTATTTATCTTTTGTCATATTTAACTTTTTATTTTGAATTATATTTTAACAATAAATTAATTTTTATTTATCCTTTATCATATTTAACTTTTTATTTTGAATTATATTTTATAGAGATAAATTTATAAATTATATTTTTATCCTATTTTGTCATATTCTAATTCAGTTCAAATTCAGAATAACAATTTGAACTAATAAAGTAGGATATAATAAATTTCAAAATTAATTTATCATATAATATTGTGTTATCAAACACAAACACTAAATTGAGACACGCTATGATACAAATATCATATCTGGTCTCTTATCCTACGATATATCATATCTTTTATTCTGCACACCAAACACACCATAATATAGTAGTAGGAGGAGGAGAAAGTTTAAGAACCTTTAAGTATGTTTTATTAATTTAGGAACCAAGATAAAACAGAAAAACAAGTCAAACAAGAGCTTAATATAACAAGTTGACAACAATTACATTTTATTGATTAAGTGGAAAAACTAAATTACTGTATAAATCAGTGGTTAAAATACGTATTTTCAAATCTCAAACAAAAAGAATATTAATAAAACAAAGGCGGTTGATCCATGAACAGAGTTTCAGAAAAATATATGGGTTGATTCATACGCAGAATAAACATCGCATTTTTCAAGCATTATGGCCTCCTAGTAGTCACAACGTTGGATCAAGAACGTGCTTAAATCAGGATTATAGTGAATTGATTTCTTTGCTACATAACTAGAAAGTTTAAGAGAAAGATTAAGAAAAATTATTGTACAATCTGAATTAGCTAAAAAACTCAAATCTCCAAAGTAACCAGCACTACGCATAATATCTTATCTATACTCCTTATGCATATCATCTGTCAGAAAGTGAATGAGAAAATTGCAATATGGGATGATGCAATTGACCTAATCTCCAACTAAGCTCAAAATTTGTGTTTGGTAGTGATCTTGTTTGGCCGCCCTTGTATGGTTTAAATCATTTTAATTGTCTCTCTTTACCCTTCGGCGTGGAGCCTTCGATGTTTCCTCCTCTTTGTTTTCTTCATTCTCTCCATCACCTTGGCTAGTGGAAGCTTCTGTGGCTGGTGTGTCTGTCTCAACCACTCTTGCCTGCACAAGAGACATAATCCAGTGATTAACATATAGTCCAAAACTTAGGTCAAAGGAAGGAAATATATAAAATGATAAGAGCTAGTAGTTCGTCTACAGGGAGTGTCTACTCACTGGCGTTTTCTTCCCACCAAATACGACCCTGAGGAAAATTGACAAGACAATAACCACAACGGCTACAAGAATTCCAACAGTGAGATTCGGTTGAGATTCACCCTTTTCAATGAGTTCCTGCAAATGCAGCATAGAATTCAAGTCATACTCCATCAGGTGAAACATTATTACGGATACAAGAAGTGAAGCAGATACCCCAACAAAATTTGCAACTTTTTCTTTTTACTTACGTGTATTTTAAGCTTGTAGGCTTTAAGGAATGGAATGTCTGCAATCTTGTATAACAGGTCAAATACCTTCTTCTGCAAGAAATAAAAAAGCATAATCATGCATAAGAAGAGTTGATGCGGAAATGCTAGAACACAAAGACCAGACTAAAATAGGAGTTAAAGAGAGAAAAAGAGAAAACAGCAAGATGACATTACTTGGATACTTGCAAGACCACTTGATTCAGTGGTAGAATCTTCTTCCTTCTGTTTCTCTTTCTCAACCAAAAACTTGGGCTTCCATGTAGTCTCTCGGTATGATGCTGCAATCTTATCATCTTTAGCTATCAAAATATTGTCAAACAATATACCATCTTGCATTGTCCAAATCTCAATACCAATAGCAGCAATAGGCTCGAAATCAGGTTTTTTAAGCTCAAAGTAATCAGGGTTTGGAATATCCTGAGGCTTCCATATACCCTTAAAAGCTGGATTTTCAATAAGGGGGGCATGCCATTTTCCCTTATATGCTGGATTCTTTTTCATTGGTCTCTTCCACTCACCACAACCAGGGGCTGCTTCACACGTTGGGTTGGCAATCTTTGGGGCTTCCCACTCACCATCTTCCTCATCGTCCCAATCTTCTGGTTTTGTAGCTTCTGGGTCATCTACTTCCTCAGGCTCATCATCCAACCATCCTTCAGGTTTCTCAGCTTCTTCATCAACAATTTCCAAGGGTGCATCTTCATCCCAGTCATCTGGCTTTACTGCATTTGGGTCTGGAATTTTCTCTCTCTCGTCCCAGTCTACAGGTTTCTTATCTTCAGGATCAGGGATTGTCTTGGGAGGGATAAGGGAAGGCTCAAAATCATCAGAAGATAAGAAATTTGCTTTTTTATTCTCTTCTCCATCAATTAAAATTTGTAACTCGTTGTCTGGTTTTAAAATAGCAGTGTACACATGAGATAATTTGTCAGAAGGAATAGATGGGGGAAACTTGAGATGATGTTCAACATACTCCCCACTCTTGGGATTCTTATGCTTGAAAATGAAATGCACCTTGTTTGTGGCTCCACACTTGTCAGGACCAAACATAATTGAATATGGAGAATCATTGTCAAATTCCTTGGGTTTCCAACCAGCCTCCTGTGGTCGAAGATATTTTATATATGCGCCACCACACTCAAGGCCATTCTGAAGGCGGGTCTCAAACTGAAGAACAACTGATTCATCCTTAAGACTCACAGCATCATTAAGTTCTTTTACTATCGCATATTTCCTTGCTTTCTCGCTGACAAGAAGCCCGTAATCTTCATGTCCCTCACTCTTTGCATGCTTCCAAACACCTACAATGTGCAGGAAAAAATCAAATATTAGTATAACAAGTTTTACAAGAAAAAAATTATCTATCAAGCCACTATAACTGAAGAGATATTTCGATATTTATTCATCCAATCGCTTCCAATATGCATCAACTACCAATGGAACTAATAAGCCAAAGTCCATACAGAACTAAACTTTAAGGACAAAGTATGCAGGCAAATCTAAGGAAATCCTAAAGTAAACATATTCCGATGCTCCATTCTATAAAAAATAAGTAACAGAAATTTGTAGATTAAAAATGTATCCTTTCTTGGAAAGCCACAACATGCTTTTATATAGTCGACTCTTGTTTTGATTTTCATCACAAAAACCCAGTCAATGACTGCATATATACATACTCCTCCCATAATGGGATATAATGAAAAATAGTATATGGAAAGTTGATGTATTTGATTATATATCAATACTAGATGCATAAACTTTTCCGATACCCTTTTTGTTTAGATTCCATTCTAGAGAGTAGTTATTTGTTAGGAAGATGTTACTTGCTAGTTAAGTAGTTGGCTAGTTAGTTAGTGAATAGTTAGTTGTTTGTTGAAATGTGGTTGGGCCATATAAGACAGGCTGCCTATAAATAGAGAGGAGGATTAGGAAGGGAATTATATTATCTTATCAATTTGAAAGGAATAGGGCCTTTTGAAATTAGGAGGTAGACATACCCTCGAAGTGCGGCCATTGTTGTAATAAAAAATGATTCATCCACATTTTCAATTATAATATACCAGTCGGCTCTATCCATTGCTATCAATTGAGTACATCGGTAGCTCAAAATGCTTTACTTTCCCAAAATATATTCTATAACTATTTCTTTTAGAGGGATTTTGCTGATGAGTGTCTTAAAGAATACTAATTGAAAAAGAGATAAAACTGTTTATTGAAAATTACAAGCATTTAATACATTGCAGCGTTCAGAGTTTTATTGTTCATTTAGTGCTTTCTATTTTCGAATAGAAACCCTTCAGACACTCTCATTAATGAATCAAACATTACATAAATACTTATTGACAACAAATCCGCAACTCTGGATTCTTTCAACCAAAAGAAAGAGAATCCAGATGGTTGATATAAATACATTTTTTATTCTTTAACCAATGCCTTGGTAACAAATAAGCCATTTGCTAATTTCATTCGGAGTTTGGACATAGTTTACATTCATTTTCCCTGGAATTCAGGCTTCTTATACCCAAGTCCCCTATTTTACATTCATTTGAAGGTAAGTTTAATTTGTTAAATAAGAAGAAAGTGGAGTAATAAGAATTTACATCAAGGGAGCCAATGTAGTTATAATTTAACACTACTATTACACCTACAACCAAGCAAAATCGGCCGCGACAAAACAGTATTAACATGGCGGGTGCCTATACCGATACCGTTATTCACCGTTTTCATGTTAAAGACCAATTTATGGTTAATTCACATCGCAACAATAGCAATCAGTGTTGCAACACCTGTACCGACCGAAATCACAAAAGTCTTTATTCGACCGCAACCGTTTTTTTAAAACCTTGCTTACAACTAAAGCAGTACTTTTCAAGATTTGTTTACACCCTATAATCATGGAAAATGCTAATAGATTCGTTCACTATGTGACTCAGTAAGAAATTTTCACTTCAACTACCTATTCATGACGGCAAACATTCCAGTGATCCACAATCAAACAAATTCCAAAAAAATAATAATAATAATAATAATAACCAGAGTTAAGAGTATATTAATTACCGTTGTATTCATCCTTATCGGAAAGAATCCAACGACCATCAAAAGGCTCGTCAAATGACTCATAGAAGATCTGAACAAATCAACACAAAACAATTCCATATTTGAAGAATCATAAAAACAAAGATCCAATTATTCAATAAACACAAAAATGGAAACAAATTATAAAAACAAAATAAAAAAGGAGAAAATGAACTACCGCATAATCGGAAGCAGTGAGAAGCTGCAAAAATGAGGTAGAAATCACGAAGAAGAGCAGTGCAAAGATTCGGTTTCGTTCTTCCATATTCGCGATGAAACCCTAAGAGAAGTTATTATGATTAAGATCTGAATATTGTAAATAGGTGGTTTAAATTTTAGTGTTGTTGTTGGAAGACGAAAGCGGTTGCGGTTATAGATCTCAAAGTCACACTTTCTGCGACGTGTTTTAACCAATGTGGTCTTATTCTCCACGTGATAGTTCCCAATTGTATCTCGCCACGTTCTCTCTCTTTTGCATAGACTTCATTAATTTCTTAATCATTTTCGATGGGAATTTAGGTGGTTAATTATCTCTTAAATACGCGTGGTTCATTAAGATGATTACAAGAAAACTTTCTCATAATCCAACAATTATTCCTTAATTCCTACCTTTTACAAAAGAGAAAATGAATGAGGCTTTGCAATTAAGTATTCTAGTAGATTATATGTTCACTAAATAATTTATCTAAAAGATTATCCGATATTATAACTTTTTATCAAATTTTTATTCACCAAGTAACTTGCTATAAGTTCTCCAATAAAGTTTTTTTAATTTTGCAATGATATAATTGACATCGATTTGAAAATTGTTACCAAAAGTGAAAAGACAACCATTAGAAAGCATTGTCAAAGTGGAAAAATCACTTAAGTATTATCGGAGAGAATTTTTTTCTTCATTTAGTAGGCTTCTTGTGCATCTTTAGTGAAAAATTTTAAAATATTTAAAATTTTGGATATGTATATTTGAGGTCACCAAATTTTAATTTTTCAGATTTGTTTTAATATGTATATTCGAAATAATCTAATAATTAAATATTAATTATTTTGAATATGTATATTTGAAAAAATATATAAAAAACTGAAATTTAGTGACTTTATATGTATTCGAAATAATTTAATATTTCAAATTTATTTTTATTTTAGTTTAATTTTTATTCTTATGAAATATATCTATTTAATATAGAAGATCTCTATAGTTTATAAATTATTCATTATTTTTTTACAAAAATATATTTATTTAATATTAAATATTCTATTTTAATATTATTAATTATTAATAATATTCAATTTTTAATTGTAATATAACTATCTTTTTAATATGATAAATTTTTTAATTACAACATGATAATTAATTATCAATTCTATAATAAAAATTAAAAAGTGTCATTTAAATTTAATTTAATTTTTAAAATTATAATTAAAAAATATTTCTTATATTTTTTATAAAAAATTATTCATAAATAATTAAAAGACAGTTAGATTTCACCATTATAATTAAAAAATTAATTATTGCATTCATTATTTAATTTCATATCATAAATTTACTTTAATGTTTACTTTTTAATTATAAATTTAAGTTATTTTTTATTAATAATAATTCAATTTAATTATATTATAATTATATTATAAATAAATATCTTTTCAAAATGAAATCAAAACAAATTTGGGATATTGGGTGACTTCGGATATGCATATCCAAAATCATCAAATTTTAATTTTTTATGGGTTATTTCGGATATGCATATCTAAAGTCATCAAATATCCCAAATTTATAAGATGTGTTCGGAAGTGCATATCTGAAGGATATTTTTAGATTTTCAGAGGTGAAAATCACCACTATTAGGTGTAAAGAGAATTTCTCATTGTCAAAAGCTAATTTGGTATGGCAAGTAAGGTAACAGAAACATTTTTCTTTACTTTAGACTATGTTTTTTAACATTGGTCTTAACTCATTTTATTGTAATCGCCGAATAACTTACCTATAAATTATCCAAAATGCAATATTTTTTCAAAACATAATACGGAGCGAATAACTTTTTAGAAAGATTTTCGTTGAATAGATAGTGGTTTTGTTTACTTTATACCACGGCTTTTACTGTTGCATAAAGTCATATCTGTTGTAATCATTAGATAATTTAACATAAGTCTTGAAAAAATTTATTTCTTTTTAGTTTTTTTTTCTTGTAGGGTTAGGGGATAATTGTTCGGGTATGGGATAAAATTTATTAAAAGTGTAATTCCTTGTGTTGAAGCAGGTTGTTGCTTGGCACAAGGTGTGTCGAATAAGCTTAGTCTGTCGAGTTGTGTTAGGTGTGTCAAAGCAGTTGTTATACACCGATTTGATTTAGTTCTAATTTTTTTTAGAGTTTTGAGTTTTTTGGCTTAGAGAGAAAGCAAGCTCAACTATAAATAGAGGGAGTAACTCCTATTTTTGTAATTTTATTCATTCACAGTAGTTGCAGTTGCAAGTGAATAAAGAAGTTTTTCACAGTTTGTGGGCAGAGAGAAACTCTGCAGAAACCCTAAATATTTTTTCTTCTTTAATTTTTTTTCTTTTTCATTGCCATTGTATGGTGATAACAATCTTGTTCATCAAGATTGATAGAAATTCATCATAGGTTTTGACGGATTTCCAACATTTGGTATCACGAGCTCCAATTGAGCAATCAAGAGAAGAAGAAGTAAAAGAAGAGAATAACGATGACTATGAATCATACAAATAGGCATTTTCCAGTAAGTCTTCCAATTCTTAAAGCTGATAACTATGAGAATTGGTGCAAACAGATGAAGATTGTATTTTTGTTGTCAAGATCTTTGGGATCTTGTGAAATATGGATTAGAATTGTTTGAAGAAAACGTCTCATAAGAAGAGAAGGAATACGAATAATCAAAGAAGAAAAATTATAAACCTCTCTTTATAATTCATAAATGTTGAGTCCGGACAATTTCGAAAAGGTTAGTGATGTAGAATCTGCAAAAGAAGCATGGGAGATTCTTAAGAAATCTTTTGGAGGTGCAGAAAAGGTGAAAGAGGTGAGGTTACAAACTCACAAAAGAACGTATGAATTGCTTCAGATGGAAGATAGCGAGAGTATATCTGATTTCTTCACTAGGGTTATAAAACTAGTTAATCAAATCAGGGTTTATGGAGAGACGTTAATAGCAAGAGCCAAAGTTCGACCATGTGGTAGTAGCCATAGAAGAGTCGAAATACATGTCAACTTTGTCAAAGGAATAGCTTCAAGGGACGCTTAAATCTCATGAACAAAGAATGACTGAAAGAGCTGCAGGCAAGTCGAAGAGTGATGTGGCTTTATAGGTTCAATCAGCAAAAGATAAGAAAGGCAGAGGAAAGTGGTTCGACAATAAAGGTAGAGGAGGCTACAACAATCCAACTCGTAGAGGAAACTAGCATGAAGAAAACGTGTTGAATTAGAGAAGACTATACCAAGGAAACTAAAGAGGTGGTGTTGTAAATATAAGAATAGGTGGTGGTCGAAAACCTGACAAGAGTCACATTCAGTGTTTCAATTGTCAAAAGTATGGTCACTATTCTAGTGATTGTCCAGAAAAGCGAAAGAATCGAGAAAGTGATACAAAGTTTGAAAAACATGAAGAAGAAGAGATGATGTTGATGACCACAATAAAAGATGAAGAGAAATTCAAGGACCAATAGTAATTAGATTCAGGATGCTCATCACATATGTCTGGAAGGAAAGATTGGTTAGTCAACATAAAACCCTCGATAAAGAACACGGTGAAATTTGCAAATTACAATACTCTAACAGCTGAAGGTATTAGTGATGTTATGATTATGAGGAAAGATGGCAAGAGGTCAGTAATTTCTAATGTGTTGTACATACCAGGCATGAAGAGAAATTTGCTCAGTATAGGACAGTTGGTCGAAAAGAACTATAAAGTGTCAATCAAAGACAAGATGATGAGAGTCATCGATGCAAGTAGAAGATTAATCTTGAAGGCTCATTGTTTACCGGGAAAAATGGTAAACAACCGCTGATCCTCTAAAAGGTTACTTATTTGGTGACTCGCAGGATCGATCAGATTGATCCTAAGACATGGTTGATTTTTGGAGTTTGACTAATCCTAATGGTGATTAATGCCAGTAAAGTAAAGATACTTTAAGTAAATTGCATGGAGAAAAGCTTGATAGAATAAATAAAAGCGTTAAGGAATTGTTAGATAAAAGGCTTCGACGGAAGTAAATAAATGAACAACGGTAAATTGCTTGAATATAAAAGATTTTGATTAATTTAAATGGTGTTTCACACATACATTCTCATGATTCTTTCTCTCACGCTGGGTACTTGAATCTAAATGAGTGACTTGTATAAAATGATGAACACACTCATAACTACATAAAAACTTAGTATTTATACTAAGAAAAATCCTAAGTAACCGTTGGGCAGTTACACCGCTTCGAGATGACGCCACATGGCATGCTCACAACCTTCGACGCCTATGTTCTCGACATGTTGCACTTGGTAACTGCTGGGAACCGTTTTCCCTCCAACAATTCAAATCTCAAACCGTTTGACCTTGGGCATCAGGGACCTTTGTCGAGAGGTTCCTTCGACGTCGAAGACAACAAGATTCCAACTTAAAGGAATTTCTCTAAGTATCTTGTCATTCTTTGATGAGCCTTCGACATGATCAGTTGGTCGAAGCCTTCTTATGTAGGAAACTCTTCTGACTCATAATTAATGGTCTATATGATAATAAACATGGGTGTCGAATTTAGGAGCCAACAAATTTCCCTCCAAGAATGTCTTATTTCGACACTAAAAAGAAAAAGGCATTCTTTGAGATTCCATTCGACACCTGTCCTTCATTCTCAGCCACAAATTAGTTTGTGTGCTTTTTGTCTCCTACCAACCAACTGACAATCTCAAAAAGTCATCATTTCACCCTTTTCCCAAGACGTCACTTCAGTAAGGCATTTTTGCACGCATGATGTCCTTTCAAATGTCGCCATCATGACTATTTCCCGAAATCGAGGATGCACGCTGCAACGTTTCCGTTCTTCAAAATGGTTACAACACCAAATGAGTGCCACGTGCCCCACTCTTGTTTGTGGAATTAAATGACCTCGAGCCTTGTGATTTTTTAATCACTATAAATAGCACTAAGTGCCTCTGTTGGACTCTTTACGCTTTCTTGCATCTAAATCTTCAGACGAACAAAATTTTCTGCAAGTAAACCTTTGCTTATTCCTCTCCAAACCCAGTAATCTTTGTTCTTCATCTT